ATTCCAAGACGAATTAGACTAAAAGCATGAAAAACATGCAGCCTTAAAACAGATATCCACTTATAACATAATCTGCATATGTCTACTCAGGAGCAACTTCCACTAAATTCAGTAAGGCTTACTCCCATCACAGGTAAGCATGTGTAGGAGTACAGACTCTGACGTATCCTTCTGATATAAATAGACATCCCCTTGTCCTACAGCATTTAGCAAATACATCTAAAGTTAAGGAATGCATTTTGGATTTGCTGGTAAGATAGCATTTTGTTTTTCCTCTCTTAATCTTCCCTAAAATTTCAAACTTTGCAGTTCATTTCCACTAGGAGCTAGAAAATGTTATCTGACTCAAAACGAGAAGCCAGTCAAAACCACTGGCTGGTATCATACTTCAAATGATGCTCAGCTTTACTGCTATCTTAACCTACAGAGTACCTCTTACAGACACTTGTATTGAATGTGAATTCCCATAAACCTCTAGCTATGAGACACTGGGCACTAGATTAAATTGAGCATTGGTTTGATCCAGCTCATCTTATATAAGATCATTGACAGGGAATGTTCAAAGACACAATAAAGCTTTTAGAAATTCATTTGAAATGTCAATTCTTTAACGTTATTACTGCCACACTTTTTCTCCCTTATGTAATTTCTTCCTCACTAGAACTTTTCTAGCCAGGCTACAGAGAAACAGCAGGAAGAAACGCAAGAATATAATTATACAAATTCAAGCTTAGATTGTATAGGCACAGACTTCTCCAACACTAGCTGATGAGAACACACCTTTATTATTCATGCTTCTTACTGCAGGGCCCGATGCATAACCATAAATCCTATTGTACTGGGTGGAGCTTTTTTTCCCTCCTAAGTGTTTTTCATGGTCAATACTCGCAATCTCCAAAGCATGCTAGAATTTAATCTCCACAGCCAAAAGCAAACACCAGAAGGCTGGGCATGATCTCTTACTTTGCCTTTCCACAGAGCATCTCAGGCCCCTTCCACACAGCTGTATAAAATCCACATTGAACTGGATTATATGTAAGTGTGGTCTCAAATAACCCAGTTCAAAGGAGATATTGTGGATGATCTGCCTTGATATATCAAGGTGTTTTTTTTTTGGCTGTGGAGATTGAATTCTAGCACGCTTTGGAGATTGTATTGACCATGATATATCAAGACAGATCATCCACAATATCTGCTTTAAACTGGGTTATCTGAGTCCACACTGCAATATAATCCAGTTCAAAGTGGATAATGTGGGATTGTATACAGTTGTGTAGAAGGGGTCATAGTGCAGCACATGGCTAGTTTTAAGTTCCTGGGTGTCACTGTGAAGGAGGATCTGACCGTTCATACAGCAGCATTGGTTAAGAGGGCCCAGCAGACTGTACTACCTGAGACTTCTAACGGCCGTTCCACACAGCCATATAACCTAGAATATCAAGGCAGAAAATCCCACAACATCTGCTTCAAACTGGATTATCTGCGTCCACACTGCCATATATTCCAGTTCAAAACAGCAAATGTGGGATTTTATTCAGCTGTGTGGAAGGGGCCTAAGGAAACAACAACTGAATGAAAAACTCTTGGTGACTTTCTACTGTTGTGCTATAGTGAGTGTCCTGAACTGCTGCAACTGCACATGGTTTGGTAATTGCACAGTGGCAGATAGGAAGGCGCTCCAAACGGTCACCACTGCTGCACAGAGAATCATTGGTTGCTCTCTCCCTTCTTTGGAAGAACTTTATAGGTCTTGCAGACTTAAGAAAGCTTAGAGCATTCTTGGGAGTCCATCTCACCTGGCATATATATATATATATATATATATATATATATATATTTGAATTATTGCTATCTGGCAGACGGCACAGGGTGACAAAAACAAGGACAAACAGAAATGGCCTTTTGAACAAGGCTTTGGGAACCTAGTGCAATAGATAAACATGGAACTATGTGAAATTGAATACTGGAACAGCTTAGACAATGTTTTTGGGTGACGAGGCTAATAGTGAAGGTAGTGTTTTTATACATTTTTAAAGGTTTTAATGTACGTATTTTATAATTCTGTTTTAAATTTTTATTGTAATTTTACATTGTTTTAATGGTATAAAATAGCTGCCTATGTTGTAATGCTGCCTTCAGTCACCTTCGGGTTCGAACAAGGCGGGGTAGAAATATCGTAAATAAATAAGTAATAAACTATCTTGTTGATGGGAAGCTTCCTACTGGAGTGGAAATCATCTATCGGACAGATGGCAAGCTATTTAACCTCAGCAGACTGAAAGCAAAACCAAGGTTACAACAACATCTGTTATAGAACTCCAATATGCTGATGACAACGTCATCTGTGCGCATTCAGAAGAAGACCTACAAGCCACTTTAAATACCTTTGCAGAAGCATACGAGAAGCTCGGCCTTTCATTGAACAACAAGAAAACCAAAGTGCTCTTCCAGCAGTCACCAGCCAATCCCTCTCCAATGCCAGAAATACAGCTTTATGGTGTAACATTAGAAAATGTTGACCATTTTTGCTACCTTGGTAGTCACCTCTAGACAAAAGACAACAGTGACACTGAAATACAACACAGCTTGAGCTCTGCGAGTGCAGCATTTTTCTGAATGAAGCAGAGAGTGTTTGAGGACCGGGACATCCATAGGGAGACCAAGGTGCTTGTTTATAAAGCTATTGTCCTCCCAACCCTGCTACACACCTGTGAAACGTGGACTATCAACAGACATCAAATGCAACTCCTAGAACGGGAAACAGAATGTTGGAGGACAGGAAAAGAGATTTAAAGATGGGCTCAAAGCCAACCTTAAAAACTGTGGCATAGACACCAAGAACTGGGAAGCCCTGGCTCTTGAGCACTCTAACAAGTGTCAAGTTTATAACTTTGTAAGTACCTTTAAATGTGTTTTAGCATGTGATGTTTAATGGATATATTTGCAACAAATGTCGATGTATATAATAAGTGCTAAGTTTATAACTTTAAAAGTATCTCCAAATGTATTTCTGCATATGTTGTTCAATATATATACTTGAAGCAAATTTTGATGTAGATAATAATTTTAGTCCATCAGAGGAAGGCCTGGAGCAAGGCTGAAACCGGTCATGGACGGCTGATTCACATGTAACTCAACATAAGAAGACACGGCTTTGATACCATTTCAAAGTGACTGTACAAAAACTCGTAGAATATTGTTTGTGATCACTGAATTTGAACAGCATAACAAGTTTATACAATTATATGTGGAATTCTATTATTTTCTATTTTCTGTATAAGGGAGATATTTGCTGAGCTTACTAACTCAGGAACCTATTCATATTGTAGTGTTTGAGGACCGGGACATCCGTAGGGATACTAAGGTGCTTGTTTATAAATCTATTGTCCTCCCAATCCTGCTATACGCCTGTGAAACGTGGACTGTCTACAGACATCATATGCAACTCCTGGAATGATTCCATTAGCACTGCCTCCAAAAAATCCTGCAAATCTCTTGGGAAGACAGACGGACAAATGTCGACATGCTGGAAGAAGCAAAGACCACCAGCACTGAAGTGATGCTCCTAAGCCAAAAACTCCGCTGGACTGGCCACATTGTCCAAATGCCTGATCACCGTCTCCCGAAGCAGTTAATATACTTCTAACTCAAGGAAACAGAATGTTGGTGGGCAGGAAAAGAGGTTTAAAGATGGGCTTAAAGCCAGCCTCAAAAACTCTGGCATAGACACAGAAAACTGGGAAGCCCTGGCCCTTGAGCACTCTAACTAGAGGTCAGCTATGACCAGCAGTGCTGCAGAATTTGAAGAGGCACGAATGGAGGGTGAAAGGGAGAAATGTGCCAAGAGGAAGGCGTGTCAAGCCAACCCTGACCAGGACTGCCTTCTGTCTGGAAACTGATGTCCTCACTGTGGGAGAACATGCGGATCAAGAATAGGGCTCTGCAGCCACTGCTAAGACACCACATCTATTATTTATTTATTTACTTTATTTGTATCCTGCTAGTATCTCCCGAAGGACTCGATGCGGCTTACAAAGGCCAAGGCCTCAAACACAATATAACAAAACACAACCTAAAGCAAATCAAAAGTTAAGCAATATTAAAAACAACAAGCAATAAAACAATACACCAAGACACAATAAAACTGGGCCGGGCCAGAGTAGTGGGTACAGATTAAAAGTGCTGAAGTGACAGGTGATATGTAGGATTATATGGTATGTGCAGTGTGCTGACAATCTTAATTTCTACTAAAGTGCTTCTGGAACTTGGTGTTGGAGTTTTCCTATTCTGGAAAGTCACATCGGAACAGCCAGGTCTTCAAGTTCTTCCTAAAGACTGCCAATGTAGGGGCCTGTCTAAGATCTTTGGGGAGGGTGTTCCAGAGTCGGGGGCCACCACAGAAAAGGCCCTGTCTCGCGTCCCCACCAGACGCGCCTGCGATGCAGGTGGAATCACGAGCAGGGCCTCTCCGGATGAACGAAGTGAGCACGTGGGTTCGTAAACGGAGATGCAGTCACGCAGGTAGGATGATCCCAAACCATTTACGGCTTTGTAGGTAAGCACCTACACCTTAAATTGGGCTCGGAAAAAATAATCTGGAAGACAATCATCCTCGAGCTACGAGGGATCGCCTAAGGATCAGAAAAGCCAAAGTGTCACTGTCTCAGTCACCCAAGAAGACAATTTTGGAGGATTTGGGGCCTCCTGTTAAGGGATACCTGATCTATACTTTGTAGCAATAGAAGTCTAAAGTGTGAGAGAAATAACACTCCAGAGATACCTATCCAGATTGAAAGAAACAATACTCCTGAGATACCTGTCTTAAGCAATACTCCCAAATCTTGCCCTGAGGAAGGTGGAAAAGGAATGAAGGGGGAGGGAACTGATAAGCAGAGGAATCCAATGGGAACCTTTGGGAGAAGGAGCTGGAGGCGCAGACTTGGGGAAAGGGAACTTGTGATGGGGAAGCCAGAGACCCTCCCTGCCTGCCTCCTGCTCACCTGGCAGCCCTTCTTGTGGTGGAAGCCGACCACGGCGATATGCAGCACGGGCCCCTTGGAGGCTCGGGGCGGGAGGTCGCCCTGCGCTCGGCCCCTCCGCTCCATGAAGGGAAGGAGAGCCGCCCGCCCGCCTCCACTCTTGACAGCCTCCTTCCCCTCTCTCCGGATGAGCGGCGCGAGGCGGCCACTGAGCATGCGCCAAGGAGGGCGCACGCGCAGTGGCGCCTACCGAAGCCCTCGCGCCGAGAGCTCAGGAAACCGGAAGAGAGCGGACTTCAGTCACCGCCGAGGAGTCTCCCGCTGGGAGGCCGAGCCAGTCCCGAGGAAGAAGAGAGGGAGAGGACAGAACGAGGAACCTGAGCGCCCAGGTCTCTAGGCTCAAAGTCCAATAGCCGAGGGAAGTTCCTGGCCGCCTTGGCCAAATTAGGGCCACAGGAAGAAGAAAGTTTCCTGACCTGTTACCTCAGGATGGTTCCTCTGGGCAACCAGTTGCCAGGGCTCTGCTCTTAAAGGGGCAGCACTCCCAGAACGCCATAGAAAGGAAGCCCTTCCACTACGTAACACGATTTGTGTTCCTGGGGTATACATGCCATTTCTTAACCCGTTTTGTCATAAAAACATGGAAAAATGTTAATTAAACTGCAAATGAATATCTCAATCCATTCAACATAGTTTGTGGCAGCCCCCAAAACGACTTTTCTGGTGTAAAAACTACTTTCAAAGTAAGTTCTGCACAATGACACAGGAAATAACATTTTCAAATCAGGAACAGATTTTTTCCCCAAATGTCACAGTGAATACTGACATTATTGTACCAGGAGTCCCCAGTGGCACAGTGGATTAAACCCCTGAGCTGCTGAACTTGCTGGCTATTTATTTATTTAAAACATATATATTCCACCCTTCTCACCCCGCAGGGGACTCAGGGCGGAGCACAACATCTATACGGCAAACATTCTATTTATTTATTTATTTATTTACGGCATTTATATGCCGCCCTTCTCACCCCATACAGTGCATTACAGTAGTCCAATTTGGAGGTGACTAAGGCATGGTACGGTGGCAGTTGGCGCACGAGTCTTAATTGTGCAAAGGTCCTCCTGGCCACCGCCGACGCCTGAGCTTCAAGCGTAAGTGATGAGTCCAGGAGGACACCCAAACTGCGGACCTGTGACTTCAGGGGGAGTGCAACCCCGTCCAACACAGGTTGCCACCCTATACCCCGATCTGGTTTACGATCGACCAGGAGGACCTCTGTCTTGTCGGGATTGATCCTCAGCTTGTTCCTCCTCATCCAGACCACCACAGCAGCCAGGCACTCATCCAGCACCCGAGGGGCTTCCTTGGAATTAGGTAGGAAAAGAGTAGTAGAGTTGCATGTCACCTCCGTAGAGATGGCACAAGATGCCAGGACATAAAACCATAAATATATATGAACATTAAAATCACATATATTCACATTAAAAGTTGCTTAAAAACCATTTCAGGACACCATTTTGCCTCATTGCACTGTCCCAGAGGCTTAGTCCCACGGGCAGGTCTTCACCACCCTTCTGAAAGACAGGAGGGAGGGGGCTGATCTAATATTGCCAGGAAGGTTGGTCATTCACATCTGGGGAGCGGGGTGAGCTCCCACTGTTAGGCCTAGCTTCTGCCAACCTAGTGTTCGAAAACATGCAAATGTGAGTAGAAGAATGGGAACTGCTTTGCCAGGAAGGTAACAGAGGTTCATGCAGTCATGCTGGCCACATGACCTTGTAGGCATCTACGGACAATGCCGGCTCTTTGGCTTAGAAATGGAGATGAGCACTACAACCCAAGATTTGGACACAACTGGACTACATGTCAGGGGAAAGCCTTTACCTTTACCTAGTTTTAGCTACTATTTCTCATTTCCCCCTATGTACGCCCTGTATGACAGCACTTTAAACTGCCATGGGTCAGCACTAGGGAAGGTGAAAGACTTTGTAAAACTATAACTCCCATGATTTCCATAGCACTGAGCCATAGAAGTTCAAATGAATCCTACATCCACTCTGTAGGATTCATTAATCCTACAGAGTGGATGCACCTACATTAGGAAGAACTTCCTGACTGAGAGCAGTTCAGCAGTGGAACTCTCTGCCCTGGAGTGTGGTGGAGGCTCCTTCTTTGGAGGTTTTTAAACAGAGGCTGGATGGCCTTCTGTCAGGGGCGCTTTGAATGCAATATTCCTGCTTCTTGGCAGGGGGTTGGACTGGATGGCCCATGAGGACTCTTCCAACTCTGATTCTATGAAATACACAGGAAGCAATCGTATTCGCAGTGTGTGTATTCTTGCTGTCATTGCAACCTGTCGTGGTGGGTGCCGTACAATACAAAATAACTCCAGAGATCTGCGTTTCGTTTAGAGTTGGATCCCGCTATAAACCATTCACCAATCGCTCAGTGAAGCATCCTCATGTGACTAGATGAGCTCGTCCCCGCCTCCTCTTCCTCCCCGGTGTTGAAACCGTTCGACTGCTCGCTCATCGATTGGTTGGACCTGTCCAAGCGGCGCCGCTGGGTCGATCCTTTGTGGCGTCACAGCCCCCGTGATCCTTATTTAGCCAATAGCGGAGGGGGTGGAATTGATTAGTTGGGTCTGGCGCAAAGATGGCGGCCAACGCGACGACCAACCCGTCTCAGCTTCTGCCGCTTGGTAACAAACTGAGGGGAAACGCGCTGAGGAGGAAAGGGAAGGGGAAGGGGAAAGGAAAGCGTGGCGTTTGGGAGAAGTAGGGAGCTGTCATATTTGTCTGGCAAATTAAAAAGATAAATGACTGAAGTAGTGAATGCTCTTTCCCCGCTTCCTTGGCCATTAGCTTCAGGCGAAACCTATGTTTGAGGCCCTGCGTCAGGGAAGTTCTGTCCGTTTTCTTGGAAGTGGGATGAAGGAACTCGAGAAGCAGCTTTGTTCTAATTTGTTCTAATATTTTTAATTATTTTTTTACAACAAAAACACAAAAAGGAGCAATACTTGTAAATACAGGGTGAGGCAGCATAACTTCCTCCCCCCCCCAAAACTTAATAAAACCCATTGTATGAGTCAGAATTCTTTTAAATCATCATCATCATTTAATAATGTATTAATTGCCCTCCATCCGAGAATGCTCTAGGCGATTTACAGTTAAATTATAAAAGATAAAATACATACATACAAATTTAAAAATTAACAGAGATCGAATGCTCTAGTAAAAAGCCAGGTCTTAAGTGCTAGAGTAAAAGGCCCTAAGTCACATGGCTCTCATATAGGGCGGCAAGGAATTCCATAAGGCAGGGGCAGAAATAGAAAAAGCCCTGCGCTCTGGTCCTTTCCAAGTGCACTTCTCTAGGACCCGGTATATGGAGTAAGTCACGTTGGGCTGGTCGTTGCGACCTCCGATGATGGGAGAAGGAGAGGCGGTCCCTAAGGTACGATGGACCCTGGCCGTAAAGAGTTTGAAAGGTCAGAACTAGCATCTTATACAGGCCACGGTACTCAGCTGGAAGCCAATGTAAATGTTGCAGCACTGGTGTTATATGGCATTTCATGGGTGTTCTTGTGAGTAGCCTGGCTTCCGCGTTCTGAACAATACGAAGCTTTCAGGTTGTAGACATCGGAAGGCCCACATACAGGGTGTTGCAATAGTCCAGCCTAGACGTGACCGTGGCATGAATGACAGTTGCCAGAGCCTCGTCAGATAGGTAGGGTGCCAGTTGCCTCGCTTGTTGTAGATGGAAAAAGGCCTGTTTGCTGGCAGCAGCGACCTGAGCTTCCATTGTCAGCTGTGAATCCAGGATGACACCTAAGCTCTTAACAGTGGTCGATGGAGATAGGGCGGCACCATCGAAGGTGGGTAATGGAGGAGTCAGACCTGCCGGGCGGCCATGCCAGAGAATCTCAGTCTTCGCTGGGTTCACCTTCAGTCTGCTAGCAAATAGCCAGTTTGACAGAGCTTCCAGACATAGGGTGAAATTGTCTGGAACTGACGTTGCTCCAAGCTCCGCATACCTAAAGTTTTGTTTTACATAGTTTTGCATATCAAATTAGGTAGGTGACGTCCCCCATTCTCCATACACTGAGTAAACCGATTTCTGGCATTTGTCATGACTCTTGCCAGCATAGCAGGCGTTATGTTGGCAATTTCTTCCTGGATGTTGGTCTTCAAATCTTGTAGGGTCCTTGGACGTTCACATAAACACGGGATTTCAAAAAACCCCATAGAAAAAAATCACAAGGGGCCAAATCTGGAGAGCGGCCGGCCACTCCAAATCCGCTCAAAAAGTAGGCCTCAACGGCAAAAGCACGCTCCTCACTGTTCCAACGCATGATGGCGACTGAACTGTGTCAGGACAAAACTTTATACTCCTGCCTCTCAAACGAGACCACTAACGCTCAACTACGTCTTCAACCGACTGAATGGCACGCATTTAAAAAAAGGAAGTTATGCTGCCTCACCCTGTACAAAAAACATGACATACTTAGTGTATGACAACCCAAAGAATATACATTTCTACCTACAACTCTTAACACATTAGTTTTCAAAGTGGATTTCCAACATCTCTTTTTTTTCAGTTTCTCTATCAATTTAATTGTTTTTCTTCTACTTTATATCCAGCCAATTGTTTACTTCTGTTCTCTTTAACACTTGCAAATCAATATCCAAACATTTTATGTCTCCAAACCTGTACATAAAGTTTTTCCCTTTCCCCAGATATATCTTGATAATATGGTTTCCATTGGGTTGCTGTGAATTTTTTGGGCTGAATGGCCGTATTCCAGTAGCATTCTGCAAATCTACTATTGGCAAACAAAAGATACCTCCAGACTGCAACACTGACTGACTCTGCAGTTGCAAGGCTAGTAAAGGTAAAGGTTTCCTAAAACATTTAGTCCAGTTGTATCCGACTCGGGGGTGGTGCACATCTCCCTTTCTAAGCCAAAGAGCCTGTGTTGTCCGTAAACACCTCCAAGGGCATGAGGCCAGCATCACTGCATGGAGCACTGTTACCTTCCCGCAGAAGAGGTACCTATGATATCCTCACATTTGCATGTTTTCGAACTGTTAGATTGGCAGAAGCTGGGCCTAACAGTGGGAGCTTACCATGCTCCCCGTATTCAAACCACCAACCTTTCGGTCAGCAAATTCCGCAGCTTGGTGGTTTAACCCATTGAAACACCAGCGGGGTGCAAGGCTACTCAATTCTACTCAGTTTTGCTAATTGCAAAACTTGCTTCAAACAGACAAGGTTTTTTCCCCCCACCTGGGACAGTCCACAGATATATATACTCTACTTGCCTCACTTCCAACAGTCCTCAGAACAAACCTCTGAAGATGCAAACTACAGATGCAAGCGAAATGTCAGGAAAGAATGCTACTGGAACATCACAGCAGCCCAGTGATTTTGGCCATGAAAGCCTTCGACAACACATGGTTTCTATTCTAAGAATGTGCCCAATGTCTTATCTCTCAACAACATAGTTAAATTAGTCTGTTTCTATTATTTACTGCATCTTGACTGCCCAATTTTCTGTAGTTGGTATTTCTATCATTTTTCACCTTGGAACATATACAGTTCTTGTTGCTGTTAACATTTATTGCAGCATTCTCTCATGTTCCTTTTTATTTGATTGTCCAACTGTCCTAGCAGTATACATTCTGGCTGGAAGTTGATTCTTGTTTTAAGAATTTCTTGAATGAGCCCATAAATTTGTGTCCAGAATGTTTAAGCCTTTTTTTTGCAGGTCCACCACATCTGATACTAAGAGCCTTTATGAACTTCACATTTCCAACATGTATTACACTATGTAACACAATTTTTTGTTCTTGGATTATAAATAATATTTCCTAATTGGTTCTATCATCAAAATACAATAAAAGATTATTAAACTGCAAAAACTTCATTTCTGTGGGACACCTTGTAGCACCTTTTGCTATAGTATTTCAGTTCAACATAGTTTGTGGCAGCCACAAAAGTGAAGTTTCTGAAGTAGAACAACTATTTTCAAAGTAAGTTCTGCACAATTATACAGGAAATAACACTTTTAAACCAGGAATGTACATCTGGTGCCTGTCATCTGTTTGGTGGTGACAAGAGCATGAGATTTCCTTTCTCCAGCAGAGAAAAACAATTAACATATGCTTGCCTTCCTCACTGGTGTCTTCCTCCAGATAGTCTAAACAGCCAAATAGCAGGAATGTTGTTGGAGTATAATTTGTGGCAGTGGAGGGAGGAGTAAGGCAGAGGGTGCTTTGGGACAAGCGTATTTTGTGGGCTTCACTGAAATCCTGCATGAATTATGCTTGTCTATGTATGCTCTAAGAAGAGGTTTATCGAGCACAGATTTCTTGCAGAGACTTCTCCAGCTGAGAAAAACAATTAACATCTTTTAAAATTTCTTTATCCTTAACAGAACTGGTGGACAAGTGTATAGGCTCTCGCATTCACATCGTAATGAAAAGCGACAAAGAAATTGTTGGTACACTCCTAGGATTTGATGACTTTGTCAGTATCCTTTACAAAAAAGAATAAAATCCAGTACTTTAAATGGTATTAGATTAAACTGACAGCAAGAGTGTGAAACTTTTATGGGCCTGGTGTCTCCTTTTTGCTAGAGCACAGATTCCCAGAAATAACTTCCAAAATTGCTAAATACCGTGTCCTAATTTTTTTTTTAAATTAAATGATGTGAGAGATATTTAAAATGTACATTACTGATCTTGGAGATTTGAAGGAAAGGCGATGTACTGTAATTCTTTTGTCAAAACTAAGTTGGCATAATGTCAGGGTTCCCTGAAGGATCTTTGGGGAACTGTTCTTTAGATAACATTGATCTACAGTATGATTTGTGCATTTATTGGTGACTGCCTGTGTAATTGAGCTTATAGCCAGTGTTTGAATTGGCACATCAAAAGGGTGGTGGTATTTATCTATGCTTCCAGCTAACAAACTGAACCTTCAGTGCTTTCACTTCCAGGATGTATACATAATTGCCATTTTGCATACAGTAGGCTGTTTCCTGTGGTGGCTGTACAATATAAAAGCATTTCTTAGAAACATAGAATCATAGTTGGAAGAGACCACATGGACCATCCAGTCCAACCCTCTGCCATGCAGAAAATGCACAATCAAAGTACCCCTTATCTTATGATATTATGCAAACAATATTATTTGTCTTCAATATCCACTGATCAGGTCAATGTTGGAAGAATATTTTAACAAAAAACTTTATTCCTTGACATCGGTTTCTAGACATGGTATTAGAAGATGTTACTGAATTGTAAGTATAATTTTTCTGCCTCCCAGTCTCAGCACATTTGATGAGTAATTACTCCTTTTACTAACTTATTTATTCCTGATCACATTTCCAAACTTGCTGTCTTGACCTCTTCTTTATACTCTTATCTACGTTAATGACATTATATTATGTGGAGATCTAATTGCATCTTGTAATTGTGGGCTGCTGTATACGCTTTCAGAAAAACAATGTGTGATGTACAGTATGTTTGTTCTCTCAGTGACAAACAGTACAGTCATGATGTCCTGGACTGATGTAGGTGCCCAGCTTGCTATTCTTCTAGTCCTGTATGACAAAATCTTCCTACAAAGTGATGCTGGGGAACTGTTATTTGGCAATTACATCATGTGCTTAGGTCCTCGAGAGGTTTCAGTGACCACTCTAACTTCCTCACTTCTGTCTTTTGGGGTTGAATGACCATTCACGGGGTCGCTGCTTTGCCTCCTTTGGGTCCGGAAAGGGGCTCGTTCTCCTTCTCTTCCTAGTCCTTCAGCGGAGATGGGCTCTGTCTTTCACTCCTTTTCTTTCTCTCCCCTTTTCCCCTCTCATTTTGTTTCTCGTCCTTTCTCCCCTCTCCTTCTCTCTTGTTCTATCCCTTTTTTTCTTTCTCTTTCTCCTTCTTTCTCCCTTCCTTCTCTCTTTCTCCCTCTCAATTTCTCCTCCTTTTTATATTATTTTCTTTTCTTTCCCCCCTCTTTCTTCCTCTTTCCTTCTCTCTACTTTTTCTTTCTCTTGCCTCCCTCTTTCTCATCCTTTCTACTTCTCTTTTCTATCTCTTCCCTTTCTTTCTGTCTTCCTCCCCTCTCCTTTCTCTTCCCTTCTTACCCTTTCTCTCCCTCCCTTCTTGTCTCTTCTCTCTATCACTCCCTTTTCTATTGATAAATCTCTTACTCTTCTCTTTCCTCCTCTATCTCCCTCCTTTTGTCACCTTTCTTTCTAACTGTCCCCCTTTCTCTTCTCTTTCTTATTTCTTTCCTCCTCTTTCTTCGTCTCCTTTCTCTCTCTTGTGGTTCTCTCTCCCTTTCTTTCTTCTCTCTCCTTTCCCTTTCTTTTTCATTTTTCCTTTTTTATTTCTTCTTTCCTTCCTTTTTCTTTTTCTCTTGTGGCCCACTCTCCTTCCTCCTTTTTCTTTCCCTCCCTTACGCAGCCTCTCCTTCTCTCTCCCTTTCTTTTCTCTTTTCCCCTCTTTCTCTCCCCCTTCCCTTTCTCCCCTATATTTCTTTATCAGCCTCAGAGGAAGACAATGGTGACAACGCAATCTGATCAAGTAAACCCTGATGGTTTGGGCCTAAGATTTTCAAAAGCCAGGTTTGGTGTGAAGTCACATCAGAGCAGCCTTCCTCTAAAAAAGAAACTTTCTCATCCACAGCTCTCTTCAAGTCTTTGCAAATTCATCCCTTCTCTTAAGCATATATGAGCAAGTCCCCAAGTTTCAAACAAGATAGGTTTTGTAGGTTTGTTCTTGAACTGAATTTGTATGTAAGCCAGAATAGGTACAATTCTTAAGTGCAACTCCAGCCATATATAATTAAATATTGTTTTTGTGATTAATCACTATACTTTAATTATGTAACAAGGAAAATGTTACAATGATTTTGGATTGTGTGGTTTTTAATTATTAGTTTTAATGTTTATATGCTTGTTAATTTTATGTTTCAATGGATATGCTTTTATTATATGTCTGTTTTATGTGTCATCGAATTGTTGCTTATTGTAAAGCCACTCTGAGTCCCCTTTGAGGTGAGAAGGGTAGGATATAAATACAGTGAATAAAAAATAATAAAATACATCCAGCATATCAGATATTTACATTAAGATTCATAACAGTAGCAAGATTACAACGAAAATAATTTTAGAGTTGAGGGTCACCACAACATGAGGAACTGTAAAGGGTCATGGCATTAGGAAGGTTCTCTAATTTTCCCTGCTGTCCTCCAGGCATAAATGCCCGGGGAGGGGTTTTCACTGGGTTTACAAAGTATAGCTTAAATGGCTTTGGAAGGAGAAACTGAATACCAACTTCTGCAGCAACTAAAAATAGATGTACGCAAGTGTAGAATTCACACCTCTGTGGGCCACTAAAGAATCCCAGCCAGTGTCTGTTTTCCATTGGGGATGCTTTCAAGAGTGTTCGGAAGCTGCAGCTGGTTTGAAATGTGGCAGACGGATTGTTCTCTGATATATACTTGAAAGATCACAGAACAATTATATGGCCTTCCATGTGCATGCTTTAAATTACAGTACTCTTTTAACAGGTGAGAAACTGCCTTACTTCCAGACAAGACTGCACAAAATTTGAAATCTTTAAAATGGGCTCTTCTTTTATGTCTCACCCCTAGTTGCAGTTGTGGAATTCCCTTCCAAGGGAAGCTTAATGTTGGCCATCTGTCAGTAGCATGCAGTCATTAAAAGTCAGGTTGGCTTTTGGCATTGTTTTGATTATATACATTGAGAAAACTTGATTTATAACATATTTCATTCTATTTGTGATGAAGGTTTTTGGCCTCTTTTTCTGCATTTTATATTGTTTCAGTAGCCCTCATGGACTAAGAAAGTGTTGTTGTCCTTATTTTCTTGAAAGCTAATTGTAAACTTTTTTTCTAATTTTAAAACAATGTTCAACAGTGAGATCACACCTGAAGGACGAAGAATTACAAAGTTAGATCAGATTTTGTTGAATGGAAATAACATAACAATGGTAAGTAATTTTTATATAGTGAATTTCCTTACTCCCTTAAATGTCTGCAATGAGATTGGATTTTAATTAACTAGAATATTAGTTAATTAGTAATTGATGTTTTGTTAGTTGTAAATCTCCCAGCGAATGCTTTAAAAGTCTCCTGGAATCCTAAAGCTGTTTATCAACATTTTAATTTTTCAGTGCTTACAATTTTTACCCTATCACCATTAAAATTAGCATGTTGCAAAGTTTAAGTACAATTGGGATGAAGTAGGTTAATGGAATGGATCTCATTAATGTCTCTTCAAGAGAGAAGGAAGGCCACTTGACTCCTTTAACTCAGACCTTTAGAAAGGCTATAGTAGTTGATGCACAACTTTTACAAATGAAATTATTGTGGTGTTCATTTTCTTGTATGATACAAAGCCTTTTTTCTTTTTCTTTTTGAATCCTTACAGTTGGTCCCTGGAGGAGAAGGACCAGAAGTATAAATGAATTCATTGAAATTCACTGAGGATTTTTTTTTTTGTTAAATATTGTGTAATAGTATCTTGATGAAACCTTACATTTTGCTTTTCCATTTCAAGTTGATTTTTGAGTATAAAGTACAATTTCCATTTCAAGGAAGGTACACCTTTGATGATAACTTTGTAAGTTAATATCATGACTTTGCTGTAAAGAAAAAAAAATATTTTGTTGTACTGAGCAAGGCAATAAAGAACTTTTTAAGTTGTTTTTTTTATATACATTTGATATGTGGTTAATGTGAACATTTGATGTCAGACAAACTTATAATATTTATAGTTCTTGTTCAAAATAATTTTATTTTCTTTTTATCAAAAAATTGACTCACTGGTGCATTGGCCAGTTAAGTTGTGATTCCCAATGTAGGGGGATTATTTCTTTTACACTTGCCCCCTTAATTGTTTTTTTCCCCCTTTCTCACAATGTGCTGAAAACAGGGACTATTATTATAAAATGTTCATTAAAATACCATGTAGTTTACTTTTTGTTGTGTGCCATCAAATCATTTCAGACTTAGGATGACCCGAAGGTAACCCTATCATACTATTTTCTTGCCAGATTTACTTACTTTCCTTCATCCATAACTTAAATTCAAATTTATTTTGGTCAAAGCCACCTAAAATTCTTCCAGATAGTTGTAGATAAGAATGCTATTGAAAACTATATAACTCTGAACGTAATTTCTCACTCAGTTTGATTTTACATTCCCCCGGCAAATAATCTAAAAGTTTTTTATAAGATAACCATATTTTTTTTGCTGTTATTTCCTTTCTATAAAAGTTTCTGCTGAAACTTTTAAAGATATATTTGGATAGAGCCTGGGCCTGATTCTAATCCATATTATTAACAAGGCACATCTCAAAATTTTCATTAAAATCTATATTCACTTTAACTGTCTTGTACCATAAATATCCATGCCACTCAAACCTCAGCTCATGATCTCCTAATAATCTTTTTACTTAATACAATCAATTTTTTCAGTGAAACAGCATTCAGTAAAATACAATTTAAAATCAGGTAAACCTAACCCTCTGTGTTTTGCATCTTTTAACAGTTATATTTAATTCTTTTCCCCCTTGCCATGTGAACAAATCATGTCAAATGAAAGGACTGCAGTGCCTTTCCCTCTGGCAGGAAAATGCCAAATTTTGAGGTGAATCCCCAGAGACCCACAACACCCTGAATGAAAAAAAAAGTTCATTAAAAAGTGGCCAGAAAAAAAATCATTTTGGGTGGGTCTGGGATTACGGAGCAGCCTGCAAGGGGTGTACAGATCACAATTGATCCTTGTCCAGTTTGCAACTGTTGTTCTAGGATAGTAGTTCTCCCCAGATGTTTTGAACTTCAACTCCCAGAAATCCTAACTGCTGGTAAACTGGCTGGGATTTCTGGAAGTTGTAGGCCAAAACACCTGTGGACCCACAGGTTGAGAACTACTGATCTAGAAAGGCTACTTGAACCTCCAGAGCAACAGCATGCTGTTTTCCCACTCTTCCTCTTTCCTCCTTCTGAGAAATGCAGGGGAATTAGTTTTTGAGCTGCTGGAAACAGCAGCAGCCTCCTGGGGTACATACCCTTTCTCCCTCACCAGCCAGACTCTTCTCCTTGCCGCCCAGAGCTTTTCCCCCTGCCTCTCTTGCTGCCCATTTCCCTTCCACTGCTCAGGGTGTGTTGATTGTGTTTTTCCTGCATGGCAGAAGGGGGTTGGACTGGATGGCTCTGGCGGTCTTCCACTGAAATACTGTTCTTATGTTGGTTAAAATTGTTCTTCATTTTAAATAATGTATTGCTCTTTCTTCCATCTACCACTAGCCTGGCCCATACCTGAGAGAGAGAGAGCTCGATAGGCAGACACACACACACACACTAAATATAATGTAATGTAATGTAATATGATATAATATAATATAATATAATATAATATAATATAATACAATATAATATAAACATTTCTTGAGGCTCCACAAGAAACTTCTGCTTCAAAAAGGGTTCCGCAGCTGAACCCTGCTCCAGAGGAATTGCAGATTTCTGCAGGAAATGGTGACAAATACAACATAAGTAAAGGAGATTTGTTGATGCTGAGCTACAAAGCTTTCTGAAAAGTTTCTGATTGCAAAGTACCTTGTGCTTATCTGCTTAATTTGGATATATGATTTATGTACACTGGTTTATAATAGTAACAGAGATCCATTTTAGCTGGCTGCATGTCTAGACACAGGATAGTATTATCCTGGTTGATAGTCATCTTCAGGAGAGAAAGAAGGTGAAGTGTTACCCTTCTCAGTATCCTTGACCTCTTGGTAGCTTTCAGTATTATTTAGCATGGTATTCTGGATGTTTAGGGCTTGAGTGTTGGAGGTACTGTGTTACCGTTGTTCCCTTCTTATCTTAAAAGTCAGCAAGTACAATAAGAAAAAAGCTAAGACAGCACCTAACCTAACATAAACCTACACTTATTTTATTGTGTCAGAAACAAATTGAGGGTACAGTTAAAATGTACCATATATTCTGGAATACAAGGCGATGGGAGGTATAAGACGATCCCCCAACTTTTGATGATAAAATACAGAGTTAGGGATATACTCGGCATTCGGCTTGCCTAGGCCCAAGGAAGTGCCTTCGGATGGCGACTCCTAGCAGTGCTGGGCGACGGCGTGCCTTGGATGTGCTCCCAGAGGCATGCTGGGAGCAGTAGTTCCCTGGATCCTACTGCACCCAGCATGCCTCTGGGAGCACATCCAAGGCACACCGTCGCCCAGCYCTGCTAGGAGTCGGTGTCCGGAGGCACTTCCTTGGGCCTAGGCAAGCCTTCAGTGGAGGTAAGCGGTAAGGGCAGAGGAYGTCCTTGAATGGAGGGAAAGGGAAAGCTCAGCGGGCCATCACCCCCAGCCGGTCTCCGTGTCAATGTGGCCTGCCAATTCCTCCCGTGCCCTCCCTCCACCCTCCTCCCCCTCCCTCCCTTCTCAAGCCGCGCCACTAAGGGCAATTTTATTTTTTTCTTTAACTTATTTTAATTTATACACAGCGTACTAGGCGACCCCCAACTTTTAATAAGATTTTCCAGGCATAAAAGGTCGTCTAGTACCCTGGAATATACGGTATTTACAACACAAAGTTAAAAACTTGGCYTTAAGTCTCATTCCAGTAATGACCTGAAGTATTATGTCTTAGAGAAACTACAAGCCCCTACTCATACAATTGAAATCCTCCCCCCCCCTCCCCATTGTTGCTGTGAAAATATAATTCCCAATCTTTCTTGGAGTTCATTTGAGATTTCTCTGTGATCAGCCTTTTCAGTTCATCCATCTCAGATAATTTGCAGATCTTTGTCAGCCATTTTTTTGGCTTTGAGATTAATGGTTACTTCTGTGCATAGATGATTCTCGCTGCAGTTATAATGTATTGTAGTATCTCCCATGCTTTCTTTCTAGTTGATTTGTCCAGCATTCCCAACAAATAAAATTGTGTTTTCATCATCATTTTAACAATAACAATTTCTTCCAACATGATATGTGCTTTACCCCAATATTCCTGGGCCTTTTTGCACAAAGTAGCTTCATATATAATAATTTTATTTTTAAAGAGCACAATGTCATCAGTTCATAGATGGCACCCAGCTCTTCTCTATGCCGCCTGGAGGGAGAGGCATTGCAAATACTGGACTGGTTCCTGGAGTCAGTGATGGCCTGAATACGTACCAATAAACTGGTGTTGCATCTTGACAAGATGAAGGCTGGGTGAATCCATTATTCCCTTGATACCAATACAGAGGCTACAGGTGGTCCAGATGGCTACTACCCAGGTGGAGACAAGGCCCTCAAGGACTGAACATATGACAAAAGTTAATGGCATTTGTTGATGAGTCATTGATCTTAGTTCAATGTATTAATACCAACATATTTATTTCAAGTTTTTTTTATGTTGCCTCCAAGCTCACAGAGGATCTCAGAGCAATAAACAAAAGTAAAAAAATCAAATAATCCAATTTTGAATCAGTTCAAGTAGTAAGTGTAAACATTGAATCCCATGTAAAACAACATTGTTTTGGCCATTTTTCAGAAGCTTAAAAAGGGAATTCCACTATCAAGATACTGCTGCAGAGAAAACCCTGTTATATACCCACCATCCTGACTGCATAAGATGTTGGGATATGCAACAGGGTTTTAAGATACAACACCTTAAATGATCCATAACTCAGGCACTTAAAGAATTACCTGACTCAGTGACAACTCAGGATTTAACATCTGTTGAAGAAATCTGTTGGTGGTGCCATGAAGGAGGGTTGCTAGTTTGGCTACTGCGTGTGGTAAGTAATTTTCAGTGGTGCCATATTGGTTTTGGAATGTTTTTCTATTAGTGACGACTTTAAGGTACCAGTTAAAATATCTATTTATGCCAACTTTGGAGGAGCAATGGGGGTGGTGAATTTGTCTTTGATTGGTGCTTTATATCTTGCTTTTATAGTACTTTAGCAAATGTTTGTCATCAATGATAATAAAAAGTTGTAATTTAAATTATGTAATTTTGTGTTTAAACTTCCCATTTTTGTTTTTTTAAGGTAATAAGAGATTGTTTTGCTAGGCTTTTAAATGCAAGAGTGAGCTTTTATGATGAATTGTAGAGATTAAATCAATCTGACAAATAAAATGAACACTGAACTTTCTTAGGTGCTACTGCTTTAATGACTTTTCAGAATCTTGGCATTAAAAGCCCACTAGAGGGAGACCATCTGAGCTAAAGTGATAACTGATAAAGCTAATAGAAAGATACAGGTTGATATCCGTTATTCAAAATGCTTGGAACCAGAAGTGCCTTGGATTCCAGGTTTGTTGCGGGTGTTGGGATTTTTAAATTTCAGAATAACTGTATTTGCATAATGAGATATCTCAGAGATGGGACCCAAGTATGAACACATAGCCTAAACATAATTTTAGACATGGATGTGGCTCTTAATGAGACATGCCACATCATCACAAGATGTCTACGCTCAACACCGCTGGAGTAATTATACTGTTTAGCTGGTATTGCACCACATGCTCTCTGCCAGGAAGTAGCAGCCTGTAATGAAAGGACCAAGACGTTGACATCTCCGGCCCATCCTCTGAATATTGGCATGTTTAATTTATTGCTTAATGAATTGAATAATGTGTTTTTAATGATTTTAATGTTTTAAATGTAATTTTTGATTGTTTATATGCTGATAGCAACATATGCTTGTGTGAGGCCATCCTGAGTCCCCTTTAGGGGAAGAAGGGCAGGGTAGAAAAATAAAATAACAAATAAAATATCAGCCAGCATGCCAACGCCTTAAAACAAGAACCAGCTTTGTAAGATCTACAGAGATACTCACTGCAGCAAGCAAGAGTCCAAAAGTGGCAGGTAAAAACCTGGAACCTCAATCAGCGGTTGACACCGGATGAGAAACTCCCTCCTGGGCACACAGAAGACTGGCCAACTTGGAAGGCACTGAACAGACTGTG